GTGTGTGTCTTTATTATCATTTATTACATACTGAGAACTATAGAGGAAATAGTAGACATTTATTGAGTGATAAAATATAGACAAAGTAAAGATGGACATATGAACCTGAAAACACCCAACCTTACCCCTCGGGCCATCCAGAGCCCACCCGCAGGGCCACACTTCCTCCCCTCCTCCAGGCCGGACCAAATTTGGTAGTTATAAGTGTTGACTGTTTCGGCACGTTTACTTTACTTGTATCCTCTACGCTACTGATCGGCTCGTTAACAGCTTGGGCGGTCGGTCACGTCTCTGTTACACACTGTTGGCAAGAACTGTAATGATGTTTTCCCTCCCGAACGTTTCTCGCCAAGTAAACACTATCACCATAGAGTAAATCGGTGCTTGGAAAAAGAGAAAATTTGGATACGCTGTCAGTAGTGTTAGAACAGATGATGATCACGCACCTTATTCATCCATTAGTTTTACTTGATATACCCAATGTTGGTAGATGTTATTACGTCCGTATATCATTTGTTCAGTTGCGGAAATGTGTTCCTAGACCCACTGTGGTAACCGATGTCACCAAATGGCAATGTTGCGGGCAACACAAAAGGTATAAGGATAGTCTCAAGACAAACCTGAAAAAGTGCCAAATCGACCCCCTCACCTGGGAGACGATCACTCCACACCGTAACGCTTGGAGGACCAGCACACAAAAAAGTGTCGATAATTTCGAGTTAGCCCGACTGCATACCGAGGCAGACAGGCGCCAGCGCCGGCAAGACACTGCCGCCGCCCCTCCCGCACTGGATGTAGCCCTCCACATGTGCAACATCTGTGGACGACCCTGCCTGTCTCGTATTGGCCTCTCTAGTTACCTCACAGCTAACATCCTAAATAACTCATATCATTGTCTTATAGCTGGATGATCGTCTTACTCGATTCCGAGTGACAGCAAAGTAATAAGTAGTAGTTTAATGAATTACCTATAAATATACTGTTATTCGGCTTACAGCAGCTGTTTTTCGCATTTCCTTCTCATTTCTGCCGCTGCAACTATTCACGTTCTCTTCGTGTATATTAACTTGCTTTTCTGAGAACCAGAGAGATGTATCTTTTAACCTTTAATTAAAAATCTACAATACTCACTGAAAGACCCTATTGTTAAAACGCAGCAGCACATGTGACATTTAAATCAAGTTTGTTATTGTTGTATTTCTGGATATGTACCACAATGATAGTTAGGTTTGTAAACAATATTCGTATTTATAATGGCTAGTCGCTGCTACTGACAATGGCCGTAAGGGGTCATCCTCAGGACCTCTCATGATGACATTTATCATAGCGTCCAGTAAATCCCCAGTGACGTCATATCTCTTAGTGTGTGTGTGTGTGTGTGTGTGTGTGTGTGTGCGCGTGTGCGCGTGCAGAAGCTGTCACCATTACCGTTGTTGTTATTTATGTTATTGTCACTAGTGTTATCATTTGTTGTACCCCTGGAGCGCCTTTTAGTGATATTGTTGTTGGTCTTCATATTCTTTTAATGCTTCAGGAGGTAATCTAAGGTGCCCATTGTCGAGATTGCTACAGCTGCTGCCGAAGGTGTCAATGCCACCGCCTCCCTCTCCTGCAGACTTTATCGATGCTGCCGCCCCTGTCGTCATTCTGTAGGCTGCTGGTGATGCTGATGACACCCCCGATAGTAGCTGCGGACACTAATCTTGCAATAACTCGGACACACACACACACACACACACACACACACACACTTGTCCAGCTATGCCAATTTACTGCCGAATGAGTCCCTTGTCAGTATTGGATGGAAAGATCGCGCTCTATGGCAAAGGTTAAAATACTCCTATTGCATTTTAATTAATGTCAGCTGGATTTTCTTTGAGGATTTATGTTTGGTTCTTCTTAGCTCATGTTCAGTTGTCTCATCAAATACTTCCATTGGTTGAACGAGATGTAGAACGTTAGCTTGTGTGTCCAATATGTTCATGGGTTGCATAGAATGATACACACATTAATACATTACTCCAGGCTAGCATTCACCAGTCTCCTGCTTACATAAACACTCCTTTACGAAACGAGTCTATCAATGGTCCTCACATCAACATCTCTCAAGCAGCGGCTCTTCATTTTGTTCCTCTTGTGATCACATAACGCTGTTTGATGGTCAATGAAAAGGCATATGACCTTATAATTGGTTTTGTTATATTCTATTTTAGGAGTTGTGAGTCCCTTTGACGTATGTGAGTATCTAGCAACAAACTCATAATTCATAACAGAGAAAACTGGAGTGACTTGTTGAAAGGGTAACTTTTTTTTTCATGTTTTACTGATAGGAGTTAAATGATGACGATGACAACAACACCGGGAGTTGGTGTGTCCTTTGGTCTGAGATCCGGCTTTCAAATCAGGGATAATTGACTCTCACCACATGCGACTTGATTGAAGTGGTAGAGTCCCCGTAATGGTCGAAGCTAATACTCACGTGTGCTTTTGCTTCTACCCGTCAGGATTTATATTGTGAAACAAGTTATCCTAACAAGCTTTTCTGCCACTCAATGCTTCTAATTCACATAGAAAGGGATAAAAAACTAAATTCGTATTTTATTTATATTGTATTTATATTATATGGATTTATTTTAATTTTCTATTTCTTGTAGTCTAGTTCCTTTTGTTTATCACATCTTGTGGTTTTTGCCTCCTCTTTCTTTAATTTTTTCATTTTATTTAATTTCTTAGATATAGTAATAAATATTATGTTTCGCGTAATAAAGACTCTCTCGATTTTTTTGATCTCTGACAATAGTGTGGAGTACATACTGAAGACTCCCCATCAAGTTCTCCCACGATACAATAGAAAGCGGATACATACACCACTTATAAGTAGATGGGTTAAATGGACACAAATACACCACTTAACAATAAAAAAAACCATACCAAACAAAATAAAATATGAATAAATAAATATATAAATAAATAATTAAACTATATTATTCTGATATAGAAAAGAAATAATAATACAATCAAGGTAATAATTCTTCCCGCGTAGCCTTGAGGAGTTAAACTATTTGGGAGGTTTTGTGATGCTGAACAATTACTGAACAAGGGACTTTAAACGTTAAGACAAACCTCCACCTTCCGGTTTTACCAAGATTGTGAAGAATTATGGATATTTTGTTGGTATTTTAAGGATGTGTGTCCGATTTAGTACTGAAAATATGGGGAAAAAAAGACGTGAAATTAAAGAAAACAAAAACAATTACAGATTTATATGGAGTATTGACAGATATAACCCAGGAACACCCGACTGGCCAGCTCTGAACCTACACTACGGGGTATCAGTATTAGCCAAGGCATGGTCCTCTATCACTATATACGGATTTGAATATTAACTAAAATTTACCTTATTAAAGTCTTAGTAACCACTGTTAAGGAACTTGTTAAGGTTTAACTGAAGTTTAGACACCCTATTCCTAACCTGAGGGTAGGCTACGTTGCATTACGTTATGTTACGTTACGTTACGTTACGTTAACTCGGTAAAGTAAACAGTGGAGAACATTCGAGATGCACATGAAGTGAAAACTCTCTCACGGAGGCAATACGACCTCACACACCACCACCCAACACCAACCTGTAAATCTAGGCAATTTGAATGGCCATTCCGAAGTTGTCTAACTGTCAACAGGAAATTCTCGCTCTTTGTTAAAACAACCCAAGGATCTATACTCCTTCGTTCTCCCTCCCAGTGATTCTGCATAAATTTATCCCCTGCGCCGTAAACTGCTCTACTGTGTGCATTGGTCTCGCTGTAGACGGATAAACGCATAGCTACAGTTTACAAGAGGTGCAGCGTGAATGAAAACGATTTCCAGCACAATACAATCAATACAGCCTCATCAAATATGCAGACGAGGATCCGCCATCAAGAGCCCATTCTCAATGAATGCATGAACGGCCCGGGTGTATTGGGCTGGGTGTATTCACTCGCTACACCTAACTGTGTCTATTGGTGTTCAAACGCTCCCTGAAGCTCTTTAAGGCTGGGGACTCAAGGCTCGGTGCAGTGCTGCTCCTGCCTTAATGTAGTGCCCCCGCGCGCCGGGTCCACACCCTGCTTATTTTTATTCGTTAATCTTTTTTTCTTTTTTTCAATTTTACTTTCCTGTATTACATAGACCCGTCAGAAAACTAGTGATGATTTATATTGTATTCTCGGTCTACCTTGTTAAAGAATTAAGCCAGTCTTAATGGCTTACAGGGTAATCCACTGAACATCTTACTCGGGTAAAGTGACCTCAGAGATTTCGTTGAGGACACTTTGATTCTCTCTCTCTCTCTCTTTCCCTGGTCAACATCGGTCCGCTAAAACAACTACTGAAATACAGGATAAAGAAGTCCATAATTCAGAGTATCCGGTATTTAGAAGTCCGGTTTTCAGAGGTTTGGTATTAAAAGTATCAGAAATAACCGCTTTGTATGCAAAATTTATTAAGATATTGAAAGCAGTTTTGACCTACGATTTAGAAACTAAACTTAAAACGATTGGGAGTAATTAATTATATACTAAATATAGCAACACTAAAACATATTTATTTCAGGGGATAGTTACAGTAATTACAGGTCATACAGGGAAAATACAGGAATTACTCTCACATAACAGAGGGTCGTCACCACAAGTAGGGAGTTAGGTATGACCATGATGGAATTAAGAGGTTATTATGTGAGTTATAGGGAAGGATAATTAAGGGTAACTGTGTGTGTGTGTGTGTGTATGTAACCTAACCTAACCTAACCTATATTAACTAAACCAATATCACTATCAGCACCACCACTCACATTAACCAGTCACTACCAGCACCACCACCATACTCACACTAACCACAATCACTACCAGCACCACCACCATACTCACATTAACCACAATCACTACCAGCACCACCACCACTCACCCTAATCACCAGCACCACTCATACTAACCACCTCCCTGCCTCATCTCTTCCCACAGATCTGCCCGACGAGGTGCCCACCATTACCGGGGGTCAGTCCAAGTACCATGTGGGAGACGAAGTACATGTCAACTGTACCTCAGCCCGCTCACGCCCAGCTGCCTCCCTCATGTGGTACATCAACGACAAACAGGTACGTTATCTTCACTACAGGTCACCTCAAGGTACCTCATTTTCACTACAGGTCACCTCTAGGTACGTCATCTTCACTACAGGTCACCTCAAGGTACCTCATTTATCATCACAGGTCACCAGGGGGTCAGTGTCAACAACAGGTCACTGGGGTAGGGAGGGTTTACGATAGTCCATTGGATGAATTACGGATGAACCCAACATGATAGCACTTTATAGCACAGTGACGTCATCTATCATGAACTGAAAATGATCGTGACGTCATCTCTACAAACACCCCTGCGTGTGGCGGCACTGACATGAGATAAAAGAAAGTGACACTAATACATGTCACTGATACGTCATGTAAATAGACGTGACGACATCTCTCATAGCAAATAATGGACGCGACCTCATGGATGTAAACAATCTTGGATGTTACGTAATCCTTGCAAACAGCTGAACATAGTCTTGGGATATGTTTAGATGACGACTTCCTGTCTTGTACACACACACACACACACACACACACACACACACACACACACACCTTTCCCCTTGTCTTCAGCAAACTGTGTGTGTGTGTGTGTTAGAGTGGGAGGGTGGGGGGGAGCAGGAGGTGGAAAAGGGAAGGATAGAGATGGCAGAGGATAGGAAAGTAAGAAAAGCGGGAGGGGGTGACGGGTAAATGTGGGAGGAAAAGGAGAAGGAAGAAAATGCAAGAGAGAGAGGAGGGAGAATGAGGTGGGAGGTAAGAGACATGAAAGAAAATGGGGAGTAGGAGTGGTGGGGAGGAGAGAGGGTGAGAGGTGAAGATACGAGGAACTGGGAGTGAGAGAGGAGGAGGGAGGATATAGAGACCGAGGGAGAGAAGGAGGGAGGATACTAACAAACAACATCATTTGCCCTGCCCTGCCCTGCCCTGCCCTCACCTCTCGTACACTCAATACAACACAGAAGATAAACACTGAAGGTAAGGTAAGGATAGCAGCCCGGGAGTGTAGGAAAGTCTTCAGAGCAGCTAGACTCGATGATGGAAGCTGCCAATATTCCTCTGGGAGGCTTCAGTTAAAAGGCTTCATTTTTAATCTAAAAGTTTGAAGGCAATATCCTAAAGCCTTCCGAGTGGCCTTATGACTCTGACCTTTGACCGACCTCCACCTAATCCAGGAGACTTGCAGGAATCTGAGGACTTGGTACCTTGAGCGTTGATCCTTCTCAGAGGTATTGTGATTTCGGTGAGGAAGTGATGACGAAGATGGATGTTAAGACGCGGAGGGTAGGTCATGAAGCCCCACCTACTGAACATTTCAACACAAAACACATGTCAGTACGATGCTTAATTTTCGGTATGGTTAGTTTTTGTAACGGTATAGATGACCTAAATCTTGACCTTTGACCAATCGAACTTGATGACACAATTGGTCAAGCACAGAGCAGAGTCAGGAAGAGGGTGAGAACAATGAAAATCCATTTTGTTTTTTGGCAGCTAATTCTAACTGTGATTTCCCTTTTAACGACACGTACAATGATGATTTTTCTTTTTAAGGAGAGTTCAATTTAGCTTTCCTCTCTTGACATTTCCTTAACAATGCTCTAAATGTCTGATCGGGGATTATCCTCTATCCTTTAATAAAGATGTTTTAAAACGTGAACTTGAAACACTTGAGAGACTGTTTACCTAAAGATCAAACGACCAACTAAACTTACAGACAAAACAAAGGTAATTTCGGTAATTTCCATGTGAAGATATATGGCAGCTTTGGCCAAGTAGGAAGACTTACCGTCCTTTAACACCATAAAAGAAGAAGCATCATCTTGGAGTAAGACAGCACTTGGCCACATGACTGATCGGATCATTACCCGCTGCTTCCAGAAATATAACCACAATTTTTGAGCGGCATCTCGGTCCTCAGACGAAGGTTGTCGACCGTAAAATGCGATCAACATCACCCACACAGACTCACCTCACACCACACTATATTGGGGAACCGCAGGAGATGTAGAGATACAGTACACCCCAAGCTGATGTGTGGGTATGGAATGGAGGATTGAGGAGGAGTGGGAAAGTGTAGTTAGAGTACACCCACCTGATGTGTAGATGAGTGTATGAAGGTGTGGCTAGAATCAACTTTTCTCAGAACATAAAGTATTTTTTTTTTACTCGTCCCTGCCTCTGCTCCTCCTCCTCCCAAATGCTCACCCCTTACAAAAGTCCTCCTCGTTTTCTCATGGACAACTTCACAAATGTTAGGGAATGTGAGGCCTAACACCTGCATGAACTTCCACTATTTCCGCTTTATATATTTGTCTTTCAGTATACATTATTTTTTTTTCTCCAGTTGTTGTGATGATGATGGAAGGTTTCGTTATAAAATTCTGATCATCATTTCTCATCTGAAGTAATCCAGACATTTCACTCCTTCCTCCACTGCCTGTCGTCCACACACGCACACACACACACACACACACACACACACACACACACACACACACACATAATGTAATGAAATAGGATGAATTGTGATACAATATTATTGTTTACGTGTACTTTCCCACTAGTTACCTAACTCTCCCTCTTACAGGCCGAGACAGGGAATCTGGTGGAATACACACCTGTCAACGATACAGACGGACTTGAAACTTCGCGCCTGGGGCTGAAATTCGTTGTGGGCGCCCGACATTTCAACTCAGGAGAGATTCGTCTGAAGTAAGTCCAACACAGATCACCGTATTTGTGGGTTTGGGTGTTGTCCTCCTGTGGGTGTAATTCACTTAGAAGGTGGTAGTGGCACAGGGGTGTAAGTGTAAAGTGTAAGTATTTTATGGTCAAATGGGTATCAATGGGGTATGACCCAGAGAATAAGAGAATTATCTTACCCATGGGCATTAAGGATTAAGAATTTCGATATTATTGTCAACTGATATCATAGGAGAATAAAAGAATAGAAAAAAATAAAGAAGACCAAGAGTGAGAAAAGATATATATGTTGTGTTGTTAAAGACAAACTAATACTTTTACAGTTTATTCGATTTATAAAGGAAAGAAACTTGCTGATGTATGGCCAGTGTCCTCTACAGTTAGCCATGAGACTTATTAGCCTTGACCACAAGTTATGCTAGATGGTTACCAGTGCATATAATAGACATAGTCAATCTACGTACAGTGCCATGAGCAGGTGAATGACCTCATCAAGGGTGATGGTGGGGCAGTGGGATTAACGGAAAATCCTGAGGCCCTTGAAAGATGGATGGTTGCTAGACCTGAGATATCACGCCTGATGTCTGAATATGAAGACGGCTATATTGCAGACAGTGCAAACAAGTCTACCAGACATCATGAACAGTCCCCAAACATCCAAAAGGCTTTTGTTAAAGATGTCACCGCCTCGGTAGAAACCATGGAAGAGATGTAACCCATTTCTTGATGATAGAGATGACTTCTATTCACTTGTTACCAAATACTTACGGACAAGCAAACAGTAAGTAAGGTATACCCAGCTGAGCAGGTGGGAGTAAAACTCTTTTTAGCCTATGTTGCAGAAAGGCTGACAAGTGAACAAAATAGGGCTGTCAGTGATACAAAGAACAATATTGTCTTATTGAACATAGAACAACAAAAATAGCAAACAAACAACTGTTGGCATCTTTAAAAACAAACTGCAATTCATTTTCACGCTTGTACATTGCTTGCCATCCTTCACTATCTGACATGGGTCAGCTCTACCGAGGCTCAGTCAGACATAGTTAACAATCTTACAGATGTATTATGTCCTCCATCACAAAATGCACCAAGTGTAGATGTAAAGGTGTGATCAGAACAAGGACGAGTTTTTTATTTTTTCAGTATTTAGCAGAATGTGTTTCCGATGTCGATCCCGAAAAACACCCTCATCAGTACCAAAGAGGATACTATATTTATCTCAGGTAAAAGTGAGTTAAATAACCAGCCATGCACACATGAAGAGGCTGACACCCGCACATTTCTTCATCTTAATCTCTGTGCAGAGTATTGACTGATAAAGGCCAGCATCCGCTCAGTAGATACAGATGTTGTATTAGCTGTAGGCCACTCTGCCGAACATTGGATAAGTTATGGGCGTGGCTCATACTTCAAATATACTCCAGCTCATTCTCTTGCTACGACACTTGGAGATATGAAGTCAAAGTCCTTGAGTGGATGTGACTCAGTGTCCAGTTTCCTCAATTAGGATTCAGGAAACAGGGTTTCAGGCAGTCCATTTTGGTCACAAGCTTTCGTGCTAAATCCATTTCCAGTCTAGAACTCTGGGGCTGGAAAGCAACTGAATCCGGCTTTGAACCCTTCTGGACTGAATTAAAAGAGGCAGTCATGTCATGTTATGAGTTTATTCATTTTAGGCGTGAAAAACGATGCAGGCATTACTGTAAATGTAGTTCATCAAGTCTGCTATACACACAGCTTTATTTATACGAAGTGACATGAAGAGATAACATTAACATTAGAATTACTGTATGGAGTAAGTGTGATAAACATACTGAGACACTAATGTATCTTTCAGCAGTGAATTGATCTCATCCTAGAGTGAGGTTTATGATTGATTGATAATGTCTACAGGTTCGTCCTTTTACACCATTACTTATACCACACCATCGTGGGGGTCGTTATCAGTCTGTTTTATTAAGAGTGATATAGATCTGTCTATCTATTTGACTCTATCAGGTTCCTTTGAAACATTCCATGGGTGAAGAAAATAATATCATGGGTGGCACACAGTACAGGGGGTTACACAGTGGGTAGCACACAGTATACAATGGATGGCACTCGGTACAGTGATGACACAATACACAGTGGGTGGCTTACAGTGCACATTGTGACACACAGTGCACATACGGTGGCACACAGTGCACAGAGGGTGAAACACAGTACATAGTGGGTGGTACACAGTGTACAGTGGGTGATACACAGTATACAGTGGGTAACGAAGTACAACATAGTGTGGATGGCACACAGTACAATGGATGGAACACCGTACAGTGGGTGGCACAAGTGGGCGGGTACAGGCAGCGCTGCGTCAGGCGGGGTTTACCTGCCAATATTGCGTTAGTGTCATTTTTATAGTGGCAATTTCTCGGTCGAGCGGCGTGATGGGTAGCGCGCGCCGCCGCTCACCCCGCACCGCCCGCATTAAACTCTCAACTCGCTGTAAATTGTCAAGATTTTTACCGTGGCGCTGTGCCCCTGGGGTTTACGGCGCCCAGAATGGCTCCATAACACCATAGTTCACGGGACCCAAGTTTACACCCCCAGCCCCTCCACTCACACACTCTGCCTTGTTGTTACCCGAGTCTGACTACTACAGTGTTTGTTAATTGTTATTTGAGTACAGTAATTACAATGTTTGTTAATTGTTATGTGAGTACAGTAATTACAATGTTTGTTAATTGTTATGTGAGTACAGTAATTACAATGTTTGTTAATTGTTATGTGAGTACAGTAATTATGGTGTTTGTTGACTTATCTGGGTACACCTGGTATAGTATTGTTGACTATTATGTGAATACAACAACCACAACATTTGTAAACTAACTTTGTACACTTCTACTACATTTTTTATTGGCTGTCGTTACCCGATTTTTTTTTTCCTGTGGACTGTTCCTACGTGAGTGCGTCCGTTTCAGCTTTACTTTCAACTGTTGTTCTCAGAGTACACCAACTACTTCTGCAGAATTGTTTGGAGATTTTGTTAGTTTACCTTTGTTTGCTTTTCCAGGGTGAGGAGATAGAGAAAATAGGGTGTTGTTGGGTGCGTCTAGGTACAGTATTGGCCTGGGGAGGGGGGGGGGGAGAGGGACTGAGGGAGGGAGGGAAAACTGACCAGATGAAAAGTCTCTCTTTCAAAAGCTGACGAATTTTGTATACCGTGTCAGTGCCCAGGTGGTTCAGAGAGCACTATTAATGTCCAGGTGGGGTTATATTGATATATCTGTCTAAGCCAATAGTCTGTTGCTGACATAAGACAAGAGTACCTGTATGGCTGACCAACCTGCTGAGATTCTTAAGAGAAGTCATGGGCCAAAAACTATGGTTCAGGTTCATGGGTCAAGGATTTATGGTTCAGTGTCATGGGTGAAAGACTATGGTTCGGGTCAATGTCATGGGTGTGTCATGGGTTAAGGATATGTGGTTTAGGGTCATGAATCATGGGTTCATGGGTTCAGGCTCAGTGGCTAAGGTCACAGAACCATGTACACTGACCTCTGTATGATCACTTAATCTCGAGCAGATTTACCTGTAAACTAATCATCCAAGTTGCATTACATTTGACCAGGTGTTCCTCACAGACACTATAGAGCCACTAATCCCGTGTTTTACTGACAGGTGCACCGCCACCATCGCCGCCGTGTACTGGCAGAGCTCGGAGGAGTCGGTGGAGGGCCAGGAACAGCAGACCGGCCCCGCCCTGGAGAGTAAAGGTGTCTACACGGGTGAGTCCAGCAGCCTTCTGTGTATAGTGTCTGCTGTGTTGCTTATTGTCACTCCCAATAATTTTCTTGTCCAGTTATCTCGCCTTACTTCACCTTGCCTTACTTTACTTCTCTTTGTACCGCCTTGCCTCGCCTTGCCTCTCTTTACCTCGCCTTGTCTTACTTTACCTCGCCTTGCCTCACTTTACCTGCTGAGTAATCTTCTGGGTCACTCTTGACAGTTATCGTTCTCGCTTCAGGAGGCAATCAAAGTCCTCCTTGGAAGTTATTTTAGGTCCACTCGTGGTCCACTGGTTCATGCGTGGTCCACTGTTATCTTCACCGAAACCATTCAGATTATTAAGCAAACGACTCGAAGCACCAAGCTTATCGTCAGTCATATTCGAGATACATTTCAATGCATGTTTCTCTCGTGAAGTGTGTGTGTGTGTGTGTGTGTGTGTGTGTGTGTGTGTGTGTGTGTGTGTGTGTGTGTGTGTGTCAGCTGCAGTAATCCCAGAGTGAGAATTTATAATGCCTTGTATTCACCTCAGGACTTCACTTAAGGAAGGATGCACATAAATTCCCCAACTGTGAATAGAAGCTCCAACATTTTTCTACCGATTGTCGATATCATCATCAAAACTCTGAGACTTTGTGCTTGTTATCACATAAACTTACACACATTTCCGACCACCATTAGTGACATTAAGCTAAATTTTGCCATTATTGTAACGTCAGATGCAGGTGGACACGGTAAGACATAGGAAGCAGTAGTAAAAGGAGTGTGTGGCTTTATACTGTACACTATTATTATTATAAACCTTATACCTGTATAGAATCTGAAATTAATGTACTACATATATGAAGAATAATTATTGTAACAATTTTAATACATTTCTAATTTATTGCTGTTGAATTTGAAATAACAGGACTAAATCAACGAATAATTAAATGGTTCAGTTCATAATACTCTTTATCGAGGAACTGAACCTTTATTTGTGGCCATCATTATAAACATTTATAACTAGTAAGATATTCAATTAATATTTACTAAAGCTCATTATGTGCCCATCAAGACGACCTTACTCTTGGTAATTATCCCATAGAAGTAAAGTTGAACATCTCTCTTCCACTACAGTAGATCTTCCACCTCTATTACATGTCAAATATTATCCTTATGTTGTTAGTATCGCAAAAATATTATTGTGTTTATTTTCATTTGCAGGATATTCTTCTGGCGGCTGGTCTTAATATGTATTTGTTTAGTTTTTGAGGCCATACCTACCTACTCTCTCTCTCTCTCTCTCTCTCTCTCTCTCTCTCTCTCTCATTTATTTAGTCTTCCTTGAAATATTAACATTCTGTACACTTGTCTTTCTATGTGAATGTTATTTACGGTATTTAGACTTACTGTGAGGGATTATGTTCGTTTAATTTTATTGTCTTGGTGATATCAAATGTCTTGTATTTTACTAAGTAGAAAATTTCCTGACACTTTTCCTCAGCGAACCTCTGTAGATTCTGTTTGACCATTTGAGATAGAATGTATTTTGTTTTTCTTGGCATTACACCCCTTCACTCGTCAGTTAAAATTTATCAGCCTGTATAATCCCATTTATGCCACTGACTTAAAAATTTCCAGAATAATGACTAGCTTTAGAGTTCATTCTTCCCATTACACCCACATAAATCTCTTATTACTCCTATGTTGCTCATTGTTTTTTGTTTTTTTTATGCTATTACGGCCGAGAAAGATTATACTTCAGTTCACCATCGTTGTCACTTATTTTCTTTCTATTTCATACTGTAGTTGTCTGTTCATTAAGTAGAACATTTCAGAGGCTATTTCTGTATCTTCTTTGATGGTCAAGTACTTTTCGTATTCTTAATGATTAATGGTGTGTGTATGGGGAGGGTGGGTGTCTGTGTGTGTATGAGGAGGGAGGGTGGGTGTGTGTGGGGGGGGGGGCGGTGGCGAAGGGGTGATGCTTATGAATGAATTCTTTTTACAGCTACTTCTTCTGCATCACTCATCTAAGTCTCACTTTTTTATACCTGCAGGTGGGAGTGAGTGCAGCATCCCCTACTCCTGGGCCTCCTGCCTCTTCGCGTTCCTGGCCACGGCCTTTCACCTGCTCATTAACTTGTAAACCACCTCCTCACCTTGGAAAGTACCCGCTAGTAGCAGTGTGACCTCGCTAAGCCTAGTCTCGGGTCACCAAAAGAGGGCAGCGCTCACAAGGTCAGGCCAAACTAAAACAAAAAATAATAAAACAAAATAAAAAGAAAGAAGAAAAACAAGAGGTCACTAGTCAGGTTGTACACACAGCCTGGTCGGGCAAAATTAGAAACATGAAGAGAAGGGAAGACAGTGCGGACACGCCTGGAGTCCTGTTGAACTACTAAGTCTCATCAGAACCTGCTCAACTCACGCGTGGACCGACACTCAGGACGCCAGCTGTGTTTATGCGTGTGTGTGTGTATTAGTAGTAGTGGTGGTGGTGGTGTGGCCTGGAACTTGTCCTACAATTTTAAAAGATGGTTGGCTCGGCTCTTGATGTTAGCGAGGTACCGCTATACGAGTTAGCCATTTGATATATAACGAGATTGGAGAGATTTTATCGGTTATAGCATTAAGTTTTATATATTACGGAACGTCGGCGCTTTGGCTCTAGTTATCTCCCAGCCAAGTGTAACCCTCCCCCTTCCCTTCTCCAGACACTCTCCCTTTACACTTCCTTACCTTCCCCTTGTCTCTCCCTCTCCCTCCCTCCCTCTCACGCCCTTTAGGAGTGGTGGAAGTGCTCGGAAAATGTTTATAACAGATCTTGATGTTTGAGTACGCATGTTGTGTGGATACAAATTGCATAATTATATTTTGAGAAAATGTAACATTTATACATGTATATGTGCTTTTTGTTGTAGTTTCTACGGATGTCTCTCTCTCTCTCTCTCTCTCTCTCTCTCTCTCTCTCTCTCTCTCTCTCTCTCTCTCTGTTTCCAACTATTGACTTGTATATTCGTTTCTCTATTTGCCTCCCCACATCAACTTATTTTGTAACACAAATGGGAGTTCCTTAACTATGAACAAGCCAGTCAAGAATATGTGGAAATTAATATACTGTATATTTCCTTGTAAGGCGAGAGAACAAAATTTTAAAGTTACTAACTATATTTATAAAATCTTGTTCACAGTTCCTTTTTATTGTGATGATGGCCACGAGGAACACAACTCAGAGATGAGTCTCCCATGTGTGCATTACAACTCAACGCGTTCGCCATTAATAAATAAATGCGCCTTTATATTGTGAAAACAAAAATAATCTTTCTACGGTTGAAAGTTTTTTCGCCTGTGCCATTTTGAGTGTTTATTTCAGCCGTCGTCGATGTGGTGAGTATCGACCACTTTATTAAAGGTAACATTGTGATAACATGTATCACTTATTCCTGTTTCATGAGAAACTTGGATTAAAAAAATACAAAAAAAGTGACAAATGAACTTTTGTATTAGCTTAGAAAAGTCCTGAAGTCAAATTTTTTTGGGGGGGAAGTTTGTTTTACACAGGTGCGCGGCGCGGCTCTGAGTGGCCGCTATAGTTTATTGCTAGTGCAGAGAAACAATACAATCTTCCAGTTGTTTATCATTGTCGACTTGTTACAATGATGATGGTGTATCAGTAAGTCATGTAAGCATGTACATAAATCTATAAATATATTATAAATGAATTATCATGATATGTGTTGTTATAATGCCAATGATTACAGATTATGTAGAAGTTTATATACTCACTTCAGTCATTTATTTCCTGTTGGCCATAAGACGCTCAGCCAATCCTCACTAACTCTCAGCAGTCTTTTTTTTTTACTTTTTTTTTACCATAATTTGCTTTTATAAATATTGTCGTTATAAATATTGTATATGACACATCGTAGCTGAGAGACAGATTGTCTGAGTTATTGAGGCGTGGTGTTTCAGTCCATGCCTCCGCTACACCTAGAAGCATTCACGTGATCACAGTACCGATGATTATTGGCTGAGGAGTAGTAAACGTCACAGCCACACATCCAATCATCAAAGGTTAAGTTGTCAACAAAGGCGGTGACTTGGTGATGGCTATCCAATGTTCCAGGCCATGCAATTATTCTTATTATGACTGTCGCGCATATCGCCAAGGTTCCTCTCACGACGACGCAGCTTAGAAAACAAAAACAAAACAAAAACATATCAGAACTTGTGGTGGTGGCGGAGGTGTGTGCCAGAGATGCTGAGGCAGTTGACATATAGGTGTTAAGTAGTAACATGATTTGTGTCATGGATATTTTTCCGGAGCCATATTTGCCGGGTTTCTCCCTACTTTGTGCATCTAGGAAAGGGATAATAATTCACTTCTTATTGGTACATATGGCTTGCTTTGTGAATGCTGACGTGAACTAAAAAAAAAGGCTGTTGTACTTTGTATTTTTGTAATTTAGTTCATAATTGTCGCTTAGGTGGCACACTGCACTGTCCTCACGCCAGTATATGCCTGGAGTCCTTCACTTGAAATATATTTCAGTAATATTTCAGTTTTTGTTGTATTGACACCTTTTATTTTAACCCTTCTTCATAACCCCATTTAGATATTCATCCTTATTTGTCTGATTTTCTTTACCCTTCGCTTTTCATTATTCCGTTCCTCGTTACGCTCTCTCATGTACAATTAACTCTTTTTCTCTAGAGTGTATTTTGGCACTTTTGCACTTTGATGGCTCTTGCACCTCACAAAGATAACACACTTAAGGCTTCCTTTAGTGGTCATTCCCTGTATGGTGGAAACAACCAGGGCGGCAGACAAGGTCATGGCGTTGAACTATGAGACACACAAACTATATAATATTAATCCACTAATGAGCTACCAGGGCTTATTGTGCCTCATCAGAGTCAACACGAGTGACTGACGATAACGAGTACGAGAGGGAGGCAAGATTTTTGTTCTCGTACTAAATCTCCTCTGATATACTCTAGTAAGAGCTTCTCGTCCAGGACAAACACTTGAATCCATTGAGACACTCACGGCCCCCACGTACCAGCAGAAGCACTCATATTCTGGTGTCGCTCTGATCCTCTGTTTGCCCTCTCTGAAGGAGATATCAAGCAGATGGTAATGTAGGTGTGAGTGTGTCGTGCCACACAAGTGTATTGGCCGCTGCTGCTACCTTCCCTTCCCAGCATCAGCACTGCTAGTTCAAGTTGTATTGCCAACTCGCCGTTGTTATGTCCCATTTGTGTGGTCCTAATGTGCCAAGTTGGTCCACATCTCGAAAGTAGAACATTTGTCTGAGTATTTTATGTGAAAAGCGATTCAAAATGCGTCACTGGTTCATTTTATTTCCTCCCTTCTGCTGAACTTCTGATGTGCAATATTATCTATCGTTTTTTTTTCTGCTCTTAATTTTTTTTAGAAAACAGTAATATAACTTTTTTAATAATTGTCACGAAAGTTTTCTGTAGAGAACAATCAAGAGAAACAATTCTTAAAATGTTTGACATTAACATTTCTTACATACTCTTAAATGGTAAATAATAATAAAACATTGATATACTGTAGATAATTCGGTGAGCCTCAACAACGTTTAGAGAAGAAAAATTCACTGAAAGACTTTGTCATCAAACTCTCACATATGTACACGATAGAAGCGCCGCTGAACTCGTAAGAAAAAAAACAACAGCAAAGTCTTTCAAGTGTTTGCAAAATGGAGAAAGTTTACGACAACAACAACCGTATAAGTAAGTGTTGAGAGAATGGAGGGCGGTGAGTGTGGGAGAAGACGTGGTGGTGTGAGGGAGGTGAGTGTGGGAGAAGACGTGGTGGTGTGAGGGAGGTGAGTGTGGGAGAAGACGTGGTGATGTGAGGGAGGTGGGTGTGGGAGAAGACGTGGTGGTGTGAGGGAGGTGAGTGTGGGAGAAGACGTGGTGGTGTGAGGGAGGTGAGTGTGGGAGAAGACGGTGGTGGTGGAGTGAGGGAGGTGGGTGTGGGAGAGAGACGTGGTGGTGTGGGAGAAGACGAGGGAGGTGGGTGTGTGGTGAGAAGACGTGGTGGTGTGAGGGAGGTGAGTGTGGGAGAAGACGTGGTGGTGTGAGGGAGGTGAGTGTGGGAGAAGACGTGGTGGTGTGAGGGAGGTGAGTGTGGGAGAAGACGTGGTGGTGTGAGGGAGGTGGGTGGGAGGGAGTGGTGGTGTGAGGGGAGGTGAGTGTGGGAGAAGTGGTGTGTGTGTGGGGAGAAGACGTGGTGGTGTGAGGGAGGTGAGTGTGGGAGAAGACGTGGTGGTGTGAGGGAGGTGAGTGTGGGAGAAGACGTGGTGGTGTGAGGGAGGTGGGTGTGGGAGAAGACGTGGTGGTGTGAGGGAGGTGAGTGTGGGAGAAGACGTGGTGGTGTGAGGGAGGTGGGTGTGGGAGAAGACGTGGTGGTGTGAGGGAGGTGGGTGTGGGAGAAGACGTGGTGGTGTGAGGGAGGTGGATGAGGGAGAATATTAGGTGCGTTGTTGCTTTTTGTCATTTTAAAGATAACTCACAATAAGAGTGGTCGGGGAGGTGATGGACGGGGTGAGGGAAAAGCGTCACAAGTATGAAATACGAACAGTCGGAGGGATTTTTTACCCTTAAATTAATCAAAAGCGAATGTGAAGAGGAAAGCAGAGAAGAAGGAACGGAAGAGAGGGTTACATTGTGGCTAAAACACAATCTACAAGTGACTCCAACAAGAACCAGACTGTGGGTATATGTTTACAAAGGTAGAGAAAACGCCTGATGGTTCACGGCCTTTTTAGTTGTGTTATTTTATGTTGCATTTGAGTATCATCTTCAGAGTCAACCATGACTTGATTTCAAAGGACGTCACGATAGTTCCTAAGTGCAGAGTATTAATTATATCACCACACTTGAATGTTTACTTTTACTTGGTCAGTGAGATAAGCCAAATCTTGGAGAGCGACCTTCAGAAGCTGAACCAATCATATTCCCTCTTGCTGATGACGTCCTGAACCGTGCGTGACCTTCTCTCTCTGATTTTGTTCCGACGAAAACCAGATTCACTTCTGTGATGACTGGAATTCAATTTAAGATGATATTTTCATTCAATTTACGAGCAGAAACCTACTTGATATGATTTCTCACACTTCCGATTCCTCGAGTTTTTGCCAGCAGATTATTATATATGAAGGGAAAATTTTATTAATTTATGGAACACAGAAGAAATTCTTATTCCATCACAGTTGAAAAATATCGCAATTCATTTTCATTTCAAGCGAGTGGTGGCCAACAGCGTGAGCGAATACATCCGACCTCATTCTGTAGTACCATAGGGATGGTGGCGCAGTTTCCCATGCATATTTGTCAACATTCTGGAGTTTTGATCAAAGAAAACGTGTCAGAAGAGGTGATTGTGTATAACAACACTAGTTTCCATTGAGTATGTAAGAGACACAGTGATAATGAAAACTTCCGATTCCAAGTGCATCCTTAGAAGTCACCCCAATTCATTTTCATAAAGAACAGAGATTCCAAAAAATTTCAAGCGAGTGGTGGCCAACAGCGTGAGCGAATACATCCGACCTCATTCTGTAGTACCATAGGGATGGTGGCGCAGTTTCCCATGCATATTTGTCAACATTCTGGAGTTTTGATCAAAGAAAACGTGTCAGAAGAGGTGAGGTTGTGTGCTGGATAACAACACTGGTGCTCGGTGTAGTTTCCAGTTGAGTGTCTTTGCGAGGTTTACTGTAAGTTCCAGACACTGTTGAGTGATAATGAAAACTTACCGGTGTCTCTCCTGACGCGTGGCAGTTATCAACAAGTGCATCCTTATTATAATAACAATAACCTTCCAGGGCGCCCTCAGTCACGCCCCAAAGTAAATGTATCAGTAAAAACAGAGATTAAACAAAAACGATGATGATTGTACAAATAGACACCAAATACATAAAGATTTGTGAAATGAATGAATGAAACAAGGAACATGTCACCCTCACAGAGTGGCAACCCGCCCACCCATAAGTGACAAGTTGGATACCATTACAATGTTGGCCTGAGCAGCTCCGCGTCTCAGTGATCCTGCCGAAGCGTTTTCATATACTGTAATTTAAAAGTAGTTTGAAATATATTTGGAGTGACCTAGATTGATATTTGGAGTCATCCTACCCGGAAATTCGGAAAAGGGTAAATACTTACAGGTTATAACACGGGTTGAAGTCCATATACCTGTACTGTACTCTTGGTGTCAAATTAATTATTACACGAGTTGGAATTTAAAGTAGATTTTCTAACACAGTTTTAGCAACGTCATGTGCGTACGTATGTGTTTTTGACTTGAATAACATCCGAGGAAGGTAGCCGCTGCTCCTCGGTTTAACATACGTAGGTCATTCCGTTCTCCATGATGAAGTAGCAGCAGCTGGTAGTCTTCCCACCAGCTGGCTGTGTCATGACCTGTCTGCTGTCTCGAAGGTTTTCCTTATGTTTACGTTGTGTTTTTGCCATATATTTACAGTATGTGGTCTCCTCTGTGTTGCATCTCTCTGTTTGACTGTTGCTTTTTATTGTACTCTAGACGTGGACATGGAGGTTAAAGTTCTGCTAAGTAGATTTTTATTACCATTAAACCCTTTCTTGTTGTTTATTAACATGGTTGTTAAGCAGCAACATATGTCCAGTTTACGTGATACTAAAAGAAGGTGAGATCATGGATGACGAGACCTTGGTCAGGTGACAGATTAATCTATAATTTGACAATCATGAAGACAGGTACAATGTGTGAGTCAGTCAGTGACGCGGCAAAACGTTAGCTCCCGGTAAGTCCTCACTGGTGGTGCTCCTCGAGCCTTCCTCCCCGACCTCTACCAGGGGGACGTGTTCACAAGTGTTCCCTCTCTATGTAGTGGAGACCCTTGTTGGTGACATGTCTTAAAGTTGTCTGTCATTGTATAGTAATTATTTCTTGGTTTTGTTACATTAACTTGCTACCTTTCAACTCGTTAATGACTTGTCAACAAGTGGACAGTTACTATACTGAGTCGACCTTTGTCTGTGACGCCTCATGAGGGTGTCCTTCACCCGAACAGTGGAAGTTACTCTGGTGTTGACGAGCCAGGAGTGTCTCTCTCATACAAGTAGCAGTGAGCTGTGGCGCTCCACTGGCAGTACCTCGTCCCCTGACCTCACCTTGCAGGTTACCATCATGTCGGAGTACAAAGTGACATGTTTACTTTTTGTTTTTCCAATATTTTATTTAGAGTAATTTTGGAAAAAAAAGTGTATGTGGAAACTCTTTAATTTGTACATAGGATATTTCACATAGCTAGAATCTTTACCAAACTCACTTTAAACTTATCAAGCCGTCTATACTGTGTGTCACAATGCCAACCAATGGTTTATATTCATTGTTTATATTAGGGAGTTATAGCCTGTAAGGATGAATTGCTCGCAACCTCGGGCGATACACATATCTGTATGATTAATTAATCTTGTAAATAAAGATATGTTCGTATTCAGACCTTCCTTTCCCCAGGACAGTGAGGGTGTAAACAAGACT